TGCAAATTAATGGCTTAAATGTTATAGATTAATAGTCTAAATGTTATAAATTAATGGCTAAATGTAAAAAAATAACAATTTAAAAGTTACAAATTAATGCCCTACACGTTATAAATTAATAGCATAAATGTATAAAATAACGGTTTAAATGTTGTAAATTAATGGGTTAGATGTTGTAAATTAATAGCTGAAATTTTATAAATTAATGTCTTAAATGTTATAAATTAATAGCTTAAATGCTATAAATTAATAGCTTAAATGTATAAAATAACAGTTCAAATATTGTAAATTAATGGTTTAGATGTTGTAAATTAATAGTATAAATGTTATAAATTAATAGTTTTGACGTTATAAATTAATTCCTTAAATGTTATAAATTAATGGCTTAAATGTTATAAATTAATAGCTTAAGTGTTGTAAATTAATGTTTTAGACGTTATAAATTACTGGTTGCAATGTTGTTATTTGATATTTTTTTTTATTTACCTTATATTTAAATTCTTCTTCGATGTTCACTCTCTGGAATTTCAGGCACAAAAGAGCTCGCGCGCGACTTTCGTGTCCCTTATATACCTTGACAAGGTGTCGAGATGTCAATCAAAGGGCAACGATTTTTTGACATAGCAAAGGACGGTTTTTCCATTACAACAAAATCAAATTGAACAATTTTTTAATTTTTATCGTAAATTGGCGACTTCAACGATTTAATACGATATCCATTTTTATCATTTTAATAGTTTTCTGCAAACTAAGACTAAATTCACACTTCTTTAATGCTAATTTTCGACTATCAATTAATTTGAACAAAATTCTATTAGAGGCTTTTGGTGATCCAAACTTGTCTGTTGCGTAGTTCTTGGCTTGGTATCGTTGCCAATTACCAGGTCTCACCACGAGCAGGTGACTACGCACGAGACCTGCCCATGAGTTATTTAATAATTATACATTGATCTCAACATTCAACCTATTGGCAAGAATGTCGAGTTCTGTCCCTATGTCATCATGGGCCTGAATTAAGAGATAGTTGTTTCGTACTCTAACTGCGAAACATATATTTCCAACGCAGCGGTTACACGAATCTTTACAAACGTAAAACAATATACATAACACAACATCTATCTCCCATACAACAATTACATTGATCAGTACAAATATCGTACAATAATTCGCATCCCTACTGGCAGCATTCGGTAAAATTGATGAGATCAGTGCAATCCTTTTTATGGGAAGTTCCTTGATTGCTTTATTGCATATTTGGTCACGCTCCGATGCTTTCCTGGGATTTAGACGACGGATTAATTCTGTAACTTCTAGAGAAGTGAAAGGTTCGATCGGAGGAGACATTTGGAAGGGAGAGTGCAGGTATTTCGTTATTTCCGCGGCAATATTGGAGGAATGAGGTTTAAATACGTTAGATAGGTGATTAACAAACAGGTTGGCTTTTCCTATAGGGCTACGAGCCTATCCACCTCGCGGACATCGAATTGGAGGGATTATTTGCGGGGGACGCGTGAGTTTCCTGGAAGCCTTCCAATAGTGAGTAGTTGGAGTCAGCTGTGGGAGACAGATCGGCAAGATATTTTTAAAAACAGTCATTTTTATAGCTTTTAATGATATTGGTTATATTCCTAGTTGCGTTATTTAGTTTGCGTTTGTCGTCAGGTATTCTATGTCTCTGCCATACTCTTGTAAGTCTACGCTTCCCTGCCATTTTTTTAATATGTGATGGGGGTATTCGTGTTTATTGATAGTAGCTAAGTAGATAGATAGTAGCTAAGTCCTAACTCTTAGTAGGTGTGGAAGAGCGGATAGCGTTTATTATGCTGGTGTTTAAGTATTTTGTGGCTGTTTCAATATCTTCGTTCGTTTTTAGGGAAATTAAGACTCATGTTGAATGATTAAAGACTTCTCTAAAGAGCTGCCAGTTGGCGAGCTGGTTATGAATAAAGCCATTAGCTGGATTTTCGATAATTGTTGAGCTAATTGTTGCAATAACGGGCAAATGATCTGAAAAGAGTTCCGCCGAGGAGTTGATTTGGACATGTCTTTTCCAAAGATATTTTTAGTTATGAAGAAGTCAAGTAAATCAAGTATTTTGTTAGTGTCAGTGGGCCAGTATGTGGGTTCATATGTGATGAGGTAGTTGAGTTTATTGGTGTTTATGCTATTCAAGAGATTTTTTGCCTCTTACTGTGATAATTCTGCTGCCCCATTGGGTATGTTTGTCTCCAGTTATGAATCTATTGCGCAGAGCATCAAGGAAGTTATCAAAGTCTTCTTTGGAAATGGAGTGTCTAGGAGGACAACATACCGCTGAAGTGGTAATTGTACCATGGCAATCTTCTGTCGCTACGTTTGTAGCTTGGAGGTAGTCCTTCTGGAACGATGGAAGCTCATAATGCTTAATGCTGATTTTGATAATAATTCCGGTGTCGTCGTGGACCTTTCTACTGGGATGTTGGGTATGGTAAAAGTTATAACCGTTTATTTTCAGGTAATTTTTATCGACGAAGTGAGCTTCAGATATGAGCATTACGTCGATTTGCTGTTGTTTCAAGGAAAATTCTAGTTCGTATTTGTGTTGAGCTAGACCGTTGGCATTCCAAAGAGCTACGCGTATTGCTTTTATTTTGCGTCGGAACGTATTAATTTATCCATGATGAGTGTTAATAATGATAGTAAGCTATTAATTTGTTCCGATTGTTTCTCAACCTGTTTATCGAACCTAAATTCATTGTCATCGACATCTCGATCATCCGATCACACTTTGTAGTAATCACATTTGTATCAGTAAATTGGCAGTTGATTAAATTTGTATGTTTAGTAATGATAAAAATTGAATGGGTATGTAATAGGTATGTAGCAAGATGAAATTCTGGCATAAAAGTTTGAAAAAATTGAGAATTCTGTGATTTCCAATGCATATCAGAGACAATGTTATTTTAATCGAATGTTGACACTTTAACAGTTTATTCCAATTAAAAAAAGCATTTATAGCTGTTTAAATTATCGATAATTTTTATATTCTAATTAACAATAATTCAAACGAAATGCAAAGAAGCGAATAAATTGAAATACATTGTATAAAACTACTTACATTCTTCAGCCACTGGAGAGGCTTTATCCTCTTGAGAGATGCACTGATTCTAATACCGGAAACGAATGTTCAAAAATATGTAAAATAACCAAGAACTCTAATATCGCGTACAAATTTGATTGACAAAATCTTATTACTTTCGCGTGTGATTATTCGATCGAATTTGATCAAAACTATCGTGATTTTAAAATATTGAAAAGAAACTGTTGCGTAGCAAACACTGACTCTACAACCGCATTGCGCGCGGTCACAAATATTCCCTGAAAATAAAGCTGTTTAAGGGCGGGAAATGGGGGGAGATGGAAAATTGGAAGCGAAACGTCGTTTCGACAATTTTCTTCTTTTTCCTATCGAACGTTTATTTAGAAAATACTGCTATTTTTTTACACTTAAAAATTATTATTAAGAAATTGGAACAAGTTTGAAAAATATTATTTAGTTGAAAATTGTGAGATATTTTTCGATAGCAAACAAATGCTCATGAATAACGTGAATGCACTACAATCATTTGCAAGAGTTATACTGTTCGCTGTTAGAATACATACCGTGAATGTTCGTTATTAGAATACGAAAATGTTATAAATTCATGGCTTAGATGTTATAAATTAATGGCTTAAATGTTGTTAATTAATAGTTTGAATGTTATAAGTTGGTGGTTTAATTGTTATAAATTAATAGCTTATATTTTCTTAATTAATAGTTTAAATGTTGTTAATTAATAGTTTAAGTGTTGTCAATTAATAGCGAAAATGTTAATTAATAGTCCAGATATTATAAGTTAATGGTTTAAATGTTGCTGGTTACTGGTTTAGATATTGTTGATTAATCGTTTAAATGTTGTTGATTGTTTGTTTAAATGTTGTTGATTAGTCATTTAAATGTTACTGATTAATCGTTTAAGTGTTGTTTATTAATGACCTAAATGTTGTTAATTAATGGTTTAATTGTTACAAGTTAATGGTTTGAATGTTGTTAATTAATAGTTTAAATGTTATAAGTTGATGGTTTAATTGTTATAAATTAATAGCTTATATTTTGTTAATTAATAGTTTAAATATTTTAAGTTGATGGTTTAATCGTTATAAATTAATAGATTATATTTTGTTAATTAATAGTTTAAATGTTGATGGTTTAATTGTAATAAATTAATAGCTTACATTTTGTTAATTAATAGTTTAAATGTTTTAAGTTGATGGTTTAATTGTAATAAATTAATAGCTTACATTTTGTTAATTAATATTTTAAATGTTTTAAGTTGATGGTTTAGTTGTAATAAATTAAAAGCTTATATTTTCTTAATTAACAGTTTGAATGTTGCTAATTAATAATTTAAGTGCAGTTAATTAATAGCTTAAATGTTGTTAATTAATAGTTTAAATGTAATAAGTTAATGGTGTAAATGTTACAAATTAATAATTGAATTGTTCATAAGATAAAATTTTCTTTTAATCTTTACGTTTCGGAATTTCAACGAGGAATGATTCGCGAGCGACTCGAATGTTCCTTTTATAGGTCATGTTTATTTTTCACAACATTGCGCATGGTTGATCGAACGGTAACGATTTTTGTCGATGTTATGGTAAATGATTCCTTTATTACAATCCAACTGAATTTAATAATTTCTCCAATTTTTATTGTAAATTTAAGCTATTAATAATTTATTACAATCACGATAATTATAATTTTTCTATTTTTCATTAGCTGAAACAAAATTTACCCTTCTATGTTATTAATTTTTAACTTACAACTCTCTTAAATGTATATAGTAAATGCCACTTTATGACAAGAATATCCATCTTGTATCAAAAACTCAAACAGCCCAATATTCTTGACTACAAATAACGATAGTATACATATATACATGTACAGATTTTGATTGGAGTCAACTAATTAAAACTTGTTTTTAAGAAATTTCTAATTCTTCATCGTTTACAAAGGTCCAATCGTCGAAAAATCCTTCTTCTTCTTCTTCTTCTTCTTCACCCTGCGACAACACCGATACTTCCTCTTCCTCGCCCTTCTTTCATAATAAATTCATAAATCAATTTTTGAAAACGTACATTTTTTATAAAAACAATTTTTATAAAAATACAAGAATTGCACGTTGCACTCACCTGTAGCTTGGTTCGTTCCCTTTCGATCATTAATTCCAATTCGAATTCTTTCTTTCTGGTCTCCCTTTCCTCACAGATCTAAAATTTACGTTAATAAACTTTTCCACAGATGCATTTATCACGAATCTTACAATCTCTTAGCTTTTGTGTTTCAAAGTATTTAACTTTATAATTCAAGAGCCAATGTCCAAGATATTCGACAGGATCGAAAGGTTTCCTTGTAACTATATCACGAAGAGCATGTGCCAAAGGTTTGCTAAGCAAGTGTTTCAAGTAAACACTGTCCGACGATAAATATTCGTTGGATGAAGATGGTAAAGATGCGGAAGAATCGATTTCATGTGGACATTCTGTTTCCCATTCCCACAATTTCCGTAATTCTTCTGTTTCTTCAAGAGTAAAGCCCATCGCGTTTAGAAGTCTATATAGAAAATTGTAGTTTTCTTAAAACGAGGTAAGAACGCTATAAAATTAACATAAACGGTTCCCGGCTTCGTGGAATTAGTCCATATTTAAATAGATTCAAGCTAATTTGCTAATTCGATAGAAACGATATAGAACAGTTAATATTGAGTTGAATTAAATTCCAGTTAGGTTACCTAGTTTTAAACTATTTCATTTTTATTTAACTTTGGTTTATCATATACGCAGAGTTCTGTTTTATCATACTCTGTTCTATTTCGTTCTATTGGTTGTATAAAATATAAGGTACAAAACGAATAGAAACAAACGTTTGTGCTCCGCTTTAAAAACGAACGATATCGCATGAAGGTTAATATGTAAATTTATTCGACCTTCGAAATTCCTCGGTATAGCCAAGTTTTAAAAAAGTATTAACGAAGCTCTGACTCATCGATCTTTCGCGCAAGAATTTCGCGATTTCTTCTCGTGGAGCCAAAGTTTCTTCCTGTGAATCATCCTGTGCGAGTCTCTTCGATATTTTCTTCGATTTTTCAATTATTTTCGCACGTTCTTTGCGGCCAATTTCTCCTAAGAAAGCCTCTCTCGTTTCTTTCGTAGTAATTGCCACATTTTTCAATATTTCATCCGTCTGTTCGCTGGTCTCGTCGAATTTTCCTCCTTTCGATTTCTCCAAGTCAGATCGATTCAAACCACGTTCCTCTAGAATTTTTTTCGGCTGATCGCATCGAATTTCAAATAATTAATAACCTAATAAATTTGTATATTTGTATATAGATAGATATATAATACGTCGTTTAATTTTGATTGCTTTTCATCTTCATCCGACTCCATCGTACTATTCTTCTCAAGGTTATGATTATTTTGCAAAACTATTTTATTTCTTTATACCAACTTCATGGCGTAAGAGGATTAATTCATTTGACTATATATATATATATATAATATAAAATTAAAAATTCGCTTTCTCCATTTCTCCAACAAAAGATTTTTCCTTATTTCTCTGCGACTTGATCGCTTCATTTACCTTAAAACAAACTACACCTAATTTACAAAACAAATTATCGCTCTCTTACCTGTATTTGTTACCTGTTCGTTACCTGAGACTGTAATGGGCGAAGACCTAACACAAGAATAACAATAACGGCAAGCAAGAATATTAACAATAACAGGAAATATTAATTTAAAAAAAAAAAGGAAGGTCGATTTAAAAAATGTCATCGAACGTGCTAGAAGATCGATTCGTTTAAAATTGCATACATTCTTGTTTCGTGCGATTGCGATAAGCTGTATCTTTCAAGCGGTTACGGGGAAAAGGAAACTTTTCCTTCAGAAGTTTCGACACAATTTCACATTCCTGTTGGATCAGTCGTTATCAGAGCCGCGTGTACGAAACTGCAACGTAATCTATCTGTTAGAATCACAACCGTTTTATCAATCAAGGTTCCTCGAGGTGTTCGTCGGGGGTATAATATCGATATACGTGCAATACTGCGATATAAGAGGAGACGCGTGATGTCGATCGCGGAGAAAATTGAGATCACATTGCCGACGTCTTATTGTCAATTCTCTTTCGTTTCGTTGATTTCGAATTGACATTTTCATTTCACATTATCGTTCCTCGTTCCTTTGTGATATTTCGTTCTGAAGTTTGTGCAGTGAACAGAGAGAACTAAATGGTGAGTGATCGAAATGTGGTTGTTTCCTATTGTCGACATTTATGGGAATTGTAACGGTTGCGAACAGCACATGGGTAGAATTTCGTTTCTTGATAATCAAGTACTTGTTTATGTGATAAATGCAAAAAGAACGAAATAGTAAGTGATCGCATCATGTTTCTTTCTTATTTTCGATATTTATTGAAAATCTAACAGTCGCGAATAGCACATGGGTAAAAAATTTATTTATTGCTAATTAGGTACCTTTTTGTGTGATAAATGAAAGAAGAACAAAATAATGTGTGATCAATGGTCGTGTTTTCCTTCTATCGTTGATATTTCTGGGAAATATAATAATGATCGTTAAAAATTGGAAATATTAGCCTTGTCACTTGTCTTTATCTGATGAATCAGAAAAATTAAAATGGGGAGAAAATAATGATCCAGGTATCAGTAATAAAATCTTCTGTATTCTCGAAATTACTTCATCTCTTTCCACTGATTCTGATTCCTTCGATTTATCGTTAGTTTTATCGACATTTCGTGATTTGCTACATTTATCGATCGAAAGGTACCGATTATTGAAGTCGAGGCAGGAAGAAATCCACCATACTTTTTACTAATTTACCTCATCAGACGTGCAACGAAGAATTGCAAGTAAACGCTAAACATCTTCGCCTATGTTTTTACCGGAGCAACACCAGCGATAGCGAGATTTTACTCACGCGATAACGATCGTTCGACGGCCCTAAAGAGCTTAAAATCTAATTCGTCGCTATCTATCGACGGCACGGTTTTATTGCGACCGATTCGCAATTTTACACGATATTTGTTCTTCTATTTGTATATTTGTAGATGCTTTTCACGAGTGCTATACGAAACGTTTAGAAGTTTCATTAGCGCTATAACGAGACTCGACTATCATGACTATATTGATGAAGTTAGAAAGCAATCTGAAAATGTACGTAGAAGTTTCGACGCACAATTTTCCTGAAGAACAATTTTCAATGTTGCGATAATAATTCCTCGTTTTCCTGATAATACAAATATTTATATTTGTCTCTAAATGCTGCTGCTTTTACACGAATAACTCTATTGTTACAGCGTATACGGCGACTGCGTGAAAATATTCTCTACACTTTCTTCGCTGTGGCCACATTCTTTGATTAATTATTTTAATATACAGGGTGGTTGGTAACTGGTGGTATAAATATTTAAATAAATATTTAATAAACTGGTGGTGGAATAACAAATTTTTTTTTCATTTTTCCATCGAGACAACGATGTCTACAGTGAGATCCGTCATAACGAGACGCGATAAAGTGCACGCGTACCGAGCCAAAATTCAAAGTCGATTTTCTCGAAAACAGAGCCTCGAACGAAAAATTGTTATTCTATATTTTCGACTTCTTTTTTCGCGTAGAATCAACCCCTTTCCGCTTGCACCGCCAGTTACCAACCACCCTGTATATAAGCTTTAATTTTTACAAAAGATACATTTATCTGTTACAGTTCTTCGCGGTTCTGTTTTTCGTGATGATGTTTGTCCTCGGCGTGGGAAGCATCGTAGGAATGGTGTCAGGAGTAGTGACTTGCTTGAAAGAAAAGCTTCCAAACATGGAAATCTGGAAAATCGTGCTTTCCGTCTGTTCAATGGGATTTGCTGTGAGCACAGTTTACGTTACTCCGGCACGTAATTTACAAATCTTGAAGCTTCTACCGTTTTACCATCTGCCTGTTTCTTTCTTCTTGTTCGAACATAATCTCTCAAACACTACAGGTCGCTAAATACCATGCTGCATAGAGTACACTGTAACAGAATGCAATAGAGCAACAGTAACTTACACAACGACAACAGTGATTTATAAATCTTTGTAGAATAACGAAGAACATCGAAATCCAGCGTTCTCCATGGACGAAACGGGGAAAACGAAATCACACGAGGGCCCAAGGGAATCGATCGTCAGATGTCCGGAAACCGTGAAAGAAACGGAAGCAAGAAGCACATGGGACAACCAAATAGAGTTCTTAATGTCCTGTATCGCGATATCGATAGGTTTCGGTAATATTTGGAGGTTTCCTTTCACTGCCTATGAAAATGGCGGTGGTGTTTTCTTAATACCCTACATCATCGTTCTTTTCGTCGTTGGCAAACCATTTTATTACCTGGAGGTGATCCTTGGACAGTTCTCTTCGTCCTCGTCGATCAAAGTCTGGAATATTTCGCCTGCGTTTGGTGGTAACTAGATAATTTTAATGATTTTCAACGATCATATTTTATTAACATCAAACTAAAGTTATTTTCATTCTCGGCAATCATATTTTGTTTATTTTATTATCAGTACGAAGTGATTGAAAAGTATCGAGACAGACTAATCTTTCTTTTAGAGTCCTTTTCCTTAAATGAATTTGGAAACCATACGATTCTGTATTGTGGAATTAAAAGCGCCATTAAACATTTTTATAAATTACAATAGAACCTCTCTTGTTCGAACTGATGGGAAGACGAAATTGTTCGAATAATAGAATTTTCGGATAATAACGATCGCTTGTCTAGTATGAAATTTCATTCATTCAAATACAGATTAAGGTGAATCGATAGTTTCTATAAATATTTATCGATCTCGTATCTTTCTGGCTGCCAAATCATACAATTTTTTCAACGCGAGTAACTGCATAGAGACCACTTTCTTTTGCTGTTTTCATTCGTGTAAAATCATCATTATTATCGTTTTTATCGCGATGAAATTATTTCGTTACGTCGGTATATTTCATTTTTCTCTTCCGCTGCCAGTATTAGAGGAACCTACGCGATTTGGATAATTTTCAATATTTCTTTCTTTGTTTTTTAACGTTTGCCATTCTGGCTTTTCCAACGTGTAGTTTTGCTAATTCTGTTGCACCTACAGCAATTTCGAATTTTCCAATCATGTCGTACTTTGTTCCCATAGTTGCAACGCTATTAGTTTCGTACCAAGTTCTCATAATTAGAATTCGCTGATATAATAAAGGAAAAGAATACATTGCACATGAACATTGATAAAACGTGTACATATTTGAAACGGCATGGTATCCCACTGGGGGTAGCCATCCACGTGTTATATTATTATACCACTAAGCTATGATATTTTACCAAATGTCCTACTGGACAAATTGTAAAATATAAATAAATAAAAAAAAAATATTTGAAACGGGAAAAAGGCATCCGTTACTGGGAAATACCCTCTTCGGATAATAAAACGTCCAGATATTATGATGTTCGGTTAATTGGTGTTCGGATAAGGGCGGCTCTACTGTAATTGAAATTTCTTATCGTAAGATTTTTCTCAA